TAACAGAGCAAAACACGCAGTATCTAGTTTGTTTTTGTTTTTTGTTGTTGTTATTGTTTTTTTCTTTTTCTTTATTCTTTTCTAAACAAATGACAAGATGGAGAAATTCACCCTAAAAGTAAGAACAGGAAGTAGTACAGCCAGGGATTTAATCAATACAGATATAAATAAGATATCTGAACTAGAATTTAAAATGATTATGAAGATACTAGCTGAGCTTGAAAAAAGCATAGAAGACACTAGAGAATCCCTTACTATAGAGATAAAAGAACTAATATCTAGTCAGGCTGAAATTAAAAATGCTATTACCAAGAAGCAGTTCCAAGTGGAGACCATAAAAACAAAGATGAACAAAGCAGAAGAGAGAACCAGTGATCTAGACGATAAAATTGTGGAAAATAAGGAAGCTGAAAAGAAGAGGGAAAGAAAACTATTAGATCATGAAGGTAGACTTAGGGAACTCAGCAATTCCATAAAGTGAAGTAATATCCATATTATAGGAGTCCCAGAAGATGAAGAGTGGGAAAAGGGAGGCTGAAGGTTTATTTAACCAAATTATAGCTTCCTAATCTGGGGAAGGAAACAGGCATTCAACTCCAAGAGGCACAAAGAACTACCCTTAAGATCAACAAAAATACGTCAACACTTTGACATACTATAGTGAAAGTTGCAAATTATGAAGATAAAGAGAAAATCCTGAAAGCAGCTTGGACAAGAGGTTCTCAACCTACAATGGTAGACACATAAGGCTGGCAGCAGACCTGTCCACAGAGACCTGGCAATGTGCTAAATGGGGAAAATATGCACCTAAGAATACTTTATCCAGCAAGGCTGTCATTCAGAATAGAAGGAGAGATAAAGGAATGTTGAAAAAGAAAACCAAAACTGGGGGCATCACAATTCTGGATTTCAAGCTGTATTACAAAACTCCAGTCATCAAGACTGTGTGGTACTGGTACAAAAACAGACACATAGGTCAATGAAACAGAATAGAGAACTCAGAAATGGACCCTCAACTCTATGGTCAACTAACCTTTGACAAAGCAGGAAAGAATACCAAATGGAAAAAAGTCTCTTCAACAAATGGTGTTGGGAAAATTGGACAGCCACATGCAGAAGAATGAAACTAGACCACTTTCTTACACCATACACAAAAATAAATTCAAAATGGATGAAAGACCTCAATGTGAGACAGGAATCCATCAAAATCCTAGAGAAGACCACAGGCAGCAACCTCTTTGACTTTAGCTGCAGCAACTTCTTGCAAGACACATCTCTAAAGGCAAGGGAAACAAAAGCAAAAATGATTGGGACCTCATCAATATAAAAAGCTTCTGCACAGCAAAGGCAACAGTCAACAAAACTAAAAGGCAACCTGCAGAATGGGAGAAGATATTCACAAATGAAATATTAGATAAAGGGCTAGTATCCAAGATATATAAAGAACTTATCAAACTCAACATCCAAAAAACAAATAATCCAGTCAAGAAATGGGCAGAAGACATGAACAAACATTTCTCCAAAAAAGACATCCAGATGGCTAACAGACACATGAAAAAATCCTCAACATCACTCAGCATCAGGGAAATACAGATCAAAATCACAATGAGATACCACCTTACACCAGTCAGAATGGCTAAAATCAACAACACAAGAAACAACAGGTGTTGATGAGGATGTGGAGAAAGGGGAACCCTCCTACACTGCTGGTGAGAATGCAAGCTGGTGCAGCCACTCTGGAAAACTCTATGGAGGTTCCGCAAAAAGTTAAAAATAGAGCTACCCTATGACCCAGCAATTGCACTAATAGATATTTATCCAAAGGATAGAAACATAGTGATTCAAAGGGGCACCTGCACCCCAATGTTTATAACAGCAATGTCCACAATAGTCAAAATATGGAAAGAGCCCAGATATCCATTGACTGGTAAGTGGTTAAAGAAGAGGTGTGTGTGTGTGTGTGTGTGGTGTATTATATAATATATAAATATTTATTTATTTATTTATCTTTATATAATGGAATACTACTCAGCCATCAAAAAGAATGAAATCTTGCCATTTCCAATGAGGTGGATGGAACTAGAGGTTGTTATGCTAAGCAAAATAAGTCAGGGAAAGACAAATACCATATGATTTCACTCATTTGTGAATTTTAAGAAACAAAACAGATGAAAATAGGGGGAAAACAAAAGAGGGGTAAACCAAGAAACACACTCTTAACTATAGAGAACAAACTGAGGATTACTGGAGGAGAGGTGGGTGGGAGGATGGGTTAAATCGGTGATTTAAGTACACTTGTGATGAACACTAGGTGTTGTATGTAAGTGATGAATCACTAAATCCTGCACATTAATGTTACACTGTATGTTAACTAAGTGGAATATAAATAAGAATTTGAAGAATGAACAAAATTTATAGATTAATGAAAAAAAGATTGTATTTTTGTGGTGTTGGTGGTTATTTCTCTTCTCTCATTTGTGATTTTATTTATTTGAGTCCTTTTTTCTTTTTGTTAAGTCTGGCTAGAGGTTTATCAGTTTTATTAATTTTTTCGTTGAACCAGTTCCTGGTTTCATTGATCTGTTATTTTTTAGCTTCGATATCATTTATTTCTGCTCTAATCTTTATTATTTCCTTTATTCTGCTGGCTTTAGGCTTGGTTTGTTTTTTCTTTCTCTAACTCCTTTAGGCGTAAAGTTAGGTTGTTTATTTGAGATTGTTCTTGTTTCTTGATGAAGACTAGTATTGCTGTATACTTCCCACTTAGGACCATTTTTGCTGCACCCCAAAGGTTTTGGACCATCATGTTTTCATTTTCATGTACATTTTCATTTCTTCTTTTATTTCATGGTTGACCCACTCATTGTTTAGTAGCATGTTGTTTAACCTCCATGTATGTGTGCCCTGTCCAGATTTTTTTTCTTGTGGTTGACTTCTAGTTTCATAGCATTGTGGTAGAAAATATGCATGTAATGATTTTGGTCTTTTTGTATGTGTTGAGGCCTGTTTTGTGACCTAATATGTGACCTATTCTGGAGAATATACCTTGTACACTTGAAAAGAATGTGTATTCTGTTTTAGGATGGAATGTTCAATATATCTGTTAAGTCTATCTGGTC